CATCTATTTACCAGACGAACTAGCCAGAACTGTTTATCGATGTAACTACGGACAAAATATAAAATAAGCACCGCAGACTGCAGTACTAGCTCATTACGAGTGAAAAATCATTCATCAGTTTTACAGTGCATATACATGAAAATATGTAAATTCATGCTAGCAAAATTTTTGAATGATTTAATATTAAATTAAAATGTAAAGGCTGTGTTGCTTCGTTCATTTTGTAACAAAATTTTGCTGAGAACAAAGTCCGGCAAGTATTTAAACTCAAAGTGAAGAATTCATTATTTTGATGAATTTATTTTTAAAAAAAACTGTAGAGAATTTAATCGGGAGGTGTGACTTTGGGCTGTTTTTCTTTGCAGCTCATTCGATTCCGGAAAAGCTTCAGATCATAGATTCATATTTACGAATGATTACCACAAATGAAAAAATTGTGATTCTTGAATAAATATTGAGAAACAAGAAAAAACAGTGGAGGGAATTTAATAGTTTGGAGCGACAATTATATAATGCTGAACAGTGTGATGCAAAAAAGAGACCTCATAAGAGGTCGACGGCCTAACGACCATTACTGGGCTACTGTCCGCGCAGGGACAGTATTTAGACGTTCTAGGCACGAAAAATTACATATTCAAAGATTATACGGCGGTAAAAACTTATACACAAGGCGCTGCTTTTTTTCCGGCTTTTGGATGATACCTTTTTTGTAGTACTGCCGCAAAGATCGCGATAATTTGTCATAGTTCATCTGAGCACGATTTTTTCGTTGGCCCCAAAAACGCGCTAAATGATGCGATGATTCGATCTTGAAAGTCCCTGAAATTTTTATCTTCCGGCCTTCCAAAAAATTTCTGTCAAAAACAGCATTGAAATCAGTAAAGTAAAAAAGTTATAGTTCAGAGTCTTTGCCTTTTGAGCTGCTCGATTGTTCAAAAGTTAAAACAGAGGAGAAATTACAAAGTTTATTCCAAAACTGATCGCGTATCCAAAATCAATGCGCTCTTTTCTGACTGAAAATTTTGAACCAAACGCAGCCCTTTAATGCAAATGGCTCGTAATTCGCTACTTCTGCTGATTTCTAAGTTTGCAAGGTATTTATGTAATAAAATATTTATAAAATTATTTTTGGTTAAATAAATAGGTTGCAAATTCATATATTTTATTTAGTTTAAATCAATTTGTCCAGCCAAAAATCTTCCAAAAAACAGATAAAAGCGCCTATGAAAATGTTACCTTCTTGTCTGTCAACCCATCTAACACACGAGCTGTACTGTTTTGGATGATCAAGCAGTTCTCTTATGAAGTGCCACAAGTGCACGGTGCCGGAATGCCGTGGGAACTGTGGTGTGCCGGTTTGCCGTGCTTCGATGACACGGCCATCAGCAATGTTCACTGAAAATTTCCAAGTGAATAATTTAAAGTGCCCAGTTACTGGACTGGTTGGTTTTCATCACAGCTTTGACTGGATAACAATGATGCTGGGTCTTTTTCGTATACGATAAGTCCAAAACACGCTTGAGATACTTGGAAATTTCTTTGAAAAAAGGCATAAATCTGTGGCAGAAATGATATCACTCGAGCATGATTGGTCACTTGCTAGCAAAATGTGGGTGATTCTTGCTTCGAAAACTTTTGAAGTGAATGGAAAGCAATTTAGCAGAGGGGCATACCTAGAAAGGTGGACCACAAGGTCCTTTCGATGCAGGCATCTGTATATGAAGCAGAAAAAAGACAATGATAATAAACTGAGCAGAACTGCCCAAGAGATATCAGTGTTCAGATCATTAGTGAAGTGTTTGTTGGTGATAAGAAGCAGTTTATTTTAAACCCAGCATCCGTAATATTAAAACATGAAAAAAGAAGCGTTTCCCGCCGAAAAATGTCCAGTTTCTTGTTTTTGCCTAAGACTAAATACTCTGAACGCCAAACACGATAAGCCCGCTGTGCCAGTTCATCACCGAAGCTTTGAGCCGCCACTTATATAGTGTGCCCGTTGAAGAAAATCTCTGTTCCATCGGTGCTCACGTCAGTATCGGCCTTTATATTCTCGCGTAGTTTCTAAGTGCTTTTTTCCAACCTGTCTGTTGCGGTTAACGCACCATGATAAATCTGCACACCCATTATTATCAAAGCGTCCACCAGTATGCTTTTCTGACAAAACAGCTAAATCAAAGTAGTCAAGAAACTGGAAGCACACCATCATTCATCGATGAAGCATTAGAAGATATTTCGGAATCGGACGGACTCGGCAGGATTCCGACGCCAGTAGTAGCATGTGCTGATGCGTAGAATTGTTGTTGCTCCGGCGAATCCCCAAGAAGGCCTTCTTCTTGGGGAACATTCTGATATGTACCTAAAATTTAATATAACACTGATATTATCTGATGACAACTTTGCCAAATCCGGCACATTTTGAGGATGTGAAGAAAGAGGTGAGTAGCAGGGTCGAGGAGTCCAATGACATGCTTTCTCAAATTAAATCCGCACTTCCCAAAAAAACCTCAGTTATGGAGTTATTCTTGCGCAGATAATAAGCAAGAAACAAGTCAAATTAAAAAATCAGAGTGGGGTTATTGCATACTTGTTTTTGCTTGTCGCTGTTCCGTTCAGCACATGTTCCACTGCATGAAATGCTAAGAGTGGTTTGGCTTAGTGAATCTCTGGTTGAGATCAAAACAGAATTTTGCTTCTTGGACACTATGGAGGTCGTACTTAATCAAGGTGCATTTGCAGTTGGTTTAGCTAGTTAAAGCAACATATGAACTGATAAATTAATAAAACTTGACAATGGAAATTTTTTCTATATTCACTGTTACTGGCGGAGTAGCAGCTCATGTTCGCGGCGCCATCAGTGCTGCTCGGATTGAAATTATTCAGATAATCCTGAACCGATGTTACTCGATCTCCTTGGTCAGCAACGTTCACTACTAGTGAATTCGGATTTGTCTGTAAAATTGTGATTATCCCACTTTTTCTGACTCTTAATTTCATTTCTCAAATGAAAGTTCACGGGATTCGTAAGAATTTATGGAGAAACTTAAGTTGCGAAGCACCAGGCTTGCCGGTGCGATCGTATGTTTTTGTATTAAACATGAAACAGACAGA